GAACTGTTCAAAGAACATGTAATCTGCCCAGAGCTCCTTTTGTTTCCCCATAGGAAGGCCTGAAGCCTGGAGACCGAGTGCTGATTATATCATCAAGGGGAGAAATGGGCAGCTCCTAAGTGTGAAGGACCCTACATTGTGCAATTAGCAACTCCAACCGCTGTGAAGATCCAAGAGAGAAAAACTTGAATCCACCAGAGTCATTGTAAGCTGATTAAAAAATTTTCCTCAGCAAGAAGCCCAGTTACTTTCACAGGGACCCCCACGACTAAGGTATAGATCTGTGGTGAAGTCCAGCTTCAAAGAGGTTTGGTTTTTCAGGACCACTCGTCTCAACGCTGGTAAAGAAACCAACCTAACCCAGTCTTTTAGAGTCCAGTTAGTGGGTGTTTCCTTGGAGGGACTGGCAAAGACGGGAAAAACCAAAGTGGTTTTGCTGCCTGGTGATGACCGTTGGACTGGTGTTACTAGGGACTCAAACTGACTGTCTGAAACAAAGGAGGAACAGAATGGTCTTTGATGGATCCACAGCAAGTCATCCTACAGTGCCAAAATGTGGTGGCAGCATTCAAAGCGTGTTGCTGAAGATTTGAACAAAACAGACTGTTATGTTTGTACTCATATTCCTACTTCTATGAATACAATATGAATTGAAAGATGCTGATGTTTAATATGCACAACAGGAGGGAATGTTAGTTATTGAATGACAATTATAAAATTAATGTGTGGGCATATGAAACATTCTGGTTCTGGTTCTGTCCTGTGATTCAATCAGGAGGTTTATTCTAGACTTGCCTTCAGCCAGAAGGCATTTACAGGGTCATAAACTTTTATGACCTGCCTCTCAGCCAGTTGGTCATTCTAGGGTCATAAAACCCACCCATCTGTTTCTGCTCTGTGAATAAAAGTCTCTGCTGTTCTGTTGGGGGTCAGATTGGTGCTGGGATGTGAGCAGCAGCCTTTCTCATTCCTGCAGGAAAAGCAAAATCCTTTTGCGCTTCAGATTCATTTTTGTCCTATATTGTGACAACCTGCTTGTTGCACAGAGCTGGCTGCACCGTTATTCATAAATCCTCCTGCTTCTTCACAGCTCAAGACACGCCTTCTTTACACCCATTGAACACATGCACTTACCTGATTGGTCCGCTGTTCAATCTGACTCCTAGCTCCAGTTTGAAAATGTCAGTGTCTCAGCAGAGAGCGTAACAGAAACAGCTGCTGTTACTACGTCTGCATATTCCGTTCTGTCGACCAGTAACAAAGTCAGTCTGAGGCCGTTTAATCCCTCGTGCTTTCAGTATTTTGCCTCTGTTCTGGATACCACCGATCATTAACAAAAAGGAGAAAATCAACCAAACAAACTTCATTCTGTGCTCCTGCCGTGCCGACGTGTCATCACAATTACCCGGAAGCCGGTGACGTCACAGTTAAAGGTCCTCCGTAAGTGCTATACTTACTGAAAATATAAAATCAAATTAATCATTTTGCCCCTTTACAAAAAATAAAATAAATTTTAAATATGTTCATCTAGTGAAACCAACAACAGAAAACCTGATCCAGTTCCTGCCTCTAAGCAAGATTATTTTCTCATCTGACCTGTAAGTCCATTCAATGTATGTTTGTTTGTGCTGCTTTTATGCAATTGTAGGACTTTTGTTGTGTATAGGCTCTTATGTTTTTTTTTTCTCTTGTTTATTCACAGCTCTTGCTGTGGGGCAATTTATATTGGAGCCATTCTAACTTGGATTATAATGGACATTTATTTTTTGGAGAAGAACTTTGTGATTATTTTTGATGGCTATATATTTATTTTTCTTTTTGAAATACAAGGACTGTTAAGCCTAATTTTTTTGTTGTCTATTTGTGAAGAGTTTTCATTCTTTATTTGTAAGGGTCTACACAAAAAAGTGTATGGTCCTTGTGTGACTGGTTTAAATATATACATATATTTAAACCAGTCTTATAAACATCTCATGAACATCAAGTTGGTTTGTTTATTTCATTTAAGTGGACAAGATAACTTAAATGAAAAGTTTACTCATGGAAATTCCTCTGTAATCTCTTCTTAGCCATATTACTTACTATGATAACTTGTTATTTTCCCAGGTGTGTATATATATATATATATATATATATATATATATATATATATATATATATATATATATATATATATATATATATATATATA